AGGTTTCTGTTAAAGAGCATTTTTGAAAAAGTGTTAGAATAAGTGAAGTAGAAATTGAAACATTTGTAGTTGGTATTTGAAGTGGATGCTGCATAGCAATAGAAAACAGAAGATCTAAGTAATTTGTATTGAGATTAAGTAATCTGTTATATGGATTAATTCGTCTAAAGAACTTAGTTGCCAAGTTAATTAGAATTAGAATAGTGCAATTATTTGCAATGAAATTGGTATTTAAGGAGCAGTTTGTGCAAGATTTAGGAGTAATTAGAGGTGTAGAGTAAAGCTGAGTAAATTGTGGTTCAATAAAACAACTCCAATGTGTAATTAGGATGTGACCACTTGGTGTAGATTGTCTACATATTTTTCCTATAATAATTTGATCATTTATTATGGTTATAATCCAGGGTTTTGCTTGTGTAGAAAAATGTCCTGTTGTGTAGCTATAATAGTTAGAGCTTGGAAGTTAAATATGATTATAAAGTGTTCTTGTACGTAAGTGACTAATAGCCAGATCTTCTAGAGTTAAAAACCATGATGGTTTTTTCCTTTTAGGCAGTTTGCCTATTCGTGATGAAATATGTTTCCAGTCAAGAAGACAAGAGTTGTCAAATGATGTTAATTATTCTAAAAACATGATAGAATGAGATCTAAGTTGTTTTTTGAAAGTAGTGTAGTTGAAGTAAGAAGATAATATAGATTCTAATGATATTGATTCTGCAATAGTGAATGGTATAGAGGATGATGGATTGTATGGAATAGATAAACTAAGGTGTTTAAAAAGTTGAATAATCTTAAAGTTGATAGTAAGCTTATTAGGCCCGTCAATTATTGGATTTGAATGTAATAGAATACTAATAGAAGACCAAAGATTATTTTGAAATTGATTATGAATTCTCTTTTTGGCCTTAATAAAAGTTGTTTATTAGATTTTTTGGTTCTAATAGTAGTAAATTCATAAAATTAAGTTGATAGTTTTTTTTAAAAGTAAATTAAATAACTTAAGAACTACTAGCCCAAATGTAGTGATTTTATTATCATTAAAACTGAAAAGGTCTAAAAACCAATTTTTATTAAGATCAAAAGGGGAGTTTACTTAATAAGAACATCTATATTGAAGCATTTTTTGATATATAGGTAGTATTAGCAAAAATGATAGTAAAATAGCAATTCCCTTAAATAATTGGAAAAACTTTTCAATATAACATGCAGAAAGAATGTAGTTTTTATTTTATAAGAGCTGTAACATATAAATATCAATATTAAAATATTATATATAACATCAGAAGAATAAAAAAGTACAATCTGATGATTCTGGCTGCAAGATTTATAATAATCTCATCGCAGAAAGAACACTCATAGCTGGATATGAATACAGACACCACCATGCAGCCTCATAGTGGTATTGATGCCTGCACCATTTTTCTACATCAGAATTTTTATAAAAAAATTTTCATTGTAATTAATAAAACTATTAATCAGTATTACTCGGCTTCTTATCTAATTTGATAATCTTATTTATACGTATTACCATTGAGAACAGTAATAGTTGTTGCATTGTTAAAGTAAACTAAATATACTAGAGTTTAAGAAAAAGAAAATTCATATTTTATATTAAACAAAAATGCAAGAGAAAATATGTAAGCCACCGTATTAATAATGATTAACTACTCGAAGTAATATACTGACAACGAATGTTAAACAATATTAGTGGTTGATTATTCAGAGTTGGAAGTATACTTTAAGAGTGTCAGGACAAAAAGCTTTATTCACTTGCAATTTAGTAAAATAAACAAAGATTGGGAGTAGAGAATCTGCAATTATATACTCTTCTATTTTTTTAAAAAAAAATATATATACTGAAAAGTCTAAATAATAATTTGTTATTAGATAAAAGATTCAAGCAAATCAAGCGTGAGATAATAAATTATTTATTATTCTATATTTTGTGTTTTTTAATATCAAAATTAACAAACAACTACACACAGCTTGATAATTTATCATCCAAACATTATTGAAATCTTTGAAACTTCAAGAGGTACTTACGTTCATTTCTCACACCTATTGTGTATCTATATATATCTAATAAAATTACTGGACAATTTAGATTTACTAAGCAGTAATTTCATACTGGTATTACAATTTGCAAATGGAGGAAATTTACGGGTTTATTTACAGAGAAAACAAAAATTTCATGGTCTGAACTAATCCAAATTGCAAAGGAAATTTTGGAGCATTTGCACAATAATGATATCATCCATTGTGACCTTGTGTGTTTGAATTTAATATTTAATATAGATTTCAATAAAATTTTAACTAAGCTTTTAAATCTTTATTGTAAAAATTTTTTAAGCATTCCAAGAATATTTTGATGAATAACAGAAAGGCCTTAATTGCAGACTTTGGAATATCAAAACAATTAATTGATACTACTGAATCAAGCTCACATACAACAGACATAGTAGCATATACTGGCCCGTGATACTTCTAATATGGTGTTCAAAATCTGAAATTTATAGTCTTGGCGTATTGCTATAGAAACTCACAAATGATGTTCCTCCATTTTATTGTTTTCAAAAATTTCAAATAATTATACAAATTTTGCACCATCAGAAAAGTGTTGGTCTTCTGATCCAAATTAATGTCCAACACTGAATCAGATTTTGATAAAACTTGAAAATCAATCAAAAAAAAAAACAGGTGAATTTATTACAAATAATAAATATGTCAAGAACAATCACAAATGGTAAATTTGCACAATGTCGAAGGTAATTAACATATTCCATAAACATTGATAATATGTTTTTAGATTAGGCTGCTAATGGCATGAACATTTTATTTAGAACCTAACAATGATATTTGTTTAAAAGATGAGTCACAAATATTATATAGTTTGTATTTATCAAGTAATCAAAATAGGGGTTTTAAAATTAAAATTATCGAATCTTATTTATTTTTAATTTAACATAGTAAAAATGCTATTGAAAAAATCCCACTTATTTTCGAAATAGTCACTTATTTGATAATTTTGAAACTCCTAATATTGATTAAAAAAAAAAGGCTATTATATGAGCCGATTTATAGAATTGAACCTTAAATTAGTCTAATGATCTGCAAAAAGTCACATGTTGATTAGATGTAATTCCATGAGTTTTTTTAGAAAAAATCGAATTTAATAAAAAGTAAGAGAAGTTAATTTTAAATTAAAAATTGTTTTTTAAGTTTTTAAAAATTTAAACTTTACAAAGTTTAACTTTTTAGTTTGTTTAGATTTCACGATGCACACTTAGCTTTTGTTAGATCTTGCGGCACTTATTTAGTTTTGTTTAGATCTTGCGACATATATTAAGTTTGAGCTTTATAATATATTTTAACATATATTTAGTATTAGCAATTTGGTATTTAGCTTGGGTTTTGTGATATATATTTAGTATAAGTTTTATAGTATATATATTTACTTGGGTTTCGCAATACATATTTAGCTTGGGTTTCAAAATACATATTTAATTTGGGTTTGTACTATATATTTTAATTCCAAGTTATTGTGTCTAAACTAGATACTGAACACAGCGGAGTTTTGTTATTATTACTTTGTCTATTTTCTATTTATTAAACTATTATTATACTATACATATTACATCATATTAATTATATTAATTAATATAAAAAAAAAATAAATAAGTAAAGCTTTCGAATGTTTATTTTAAATAAATCTTTTTTATTTTTTCATTAATATGGAATATACAACTTTCTCTCTCGTAAAATCTTTGATTAAATATTAAAATGCTTATTCGTTAAAGGTAAAAATGTTCTTTAATGGATTAAAAATAAATATGATTAATGTTTAATTGCACCAGATTTAGTATATTTTAAGCACAATTAACTCTGATCAGATCCTGTGAAACCGATCAAAAAAATTAGCTTATACAGATCCAAATTTTTATTAAAAAAAGAAACTTGCATAACAAAAAATTTTTTATTTATTAAAAAAAAATTACATTTAACTACTAACTAACCCTAATTCTAAACAACTAATACTGAGCCTAAAAAATGCCTTGTAATAAACATTTCAAACCACATCAAACACGACATAATGAAGCCACCAATGACATTCAACTTTCATAGCCATAACAATATATACCCATATACCCGATTCTAATAGTAATGAAGCTGAAATTAAATCATAGCAAAAGCACAATAACACTAAAAACAATGAAGGCTAAACTTTCACTAGAGATGTCATGAAATGACAAAAGCCTAAATTTCTACTGATGAAAACCAAAAAATGACTCCAACAACCGTAATGACTCAAGCAGCAATGATGTAGCTATGCTATCCGGTATTCTTGCAAGGCTAATACAGTATATGAAAAAAATATATTAGTAAGTCAGGAAAAAAAAAAGACAAACAATGAAAACTATTTATTACGTTTCTTACAAGATTCCAGTTCGAATCACTAATACTCGGCATTTTAGCAAAGCCAACTTACGAAAGAAAAGAGATTTAACTTAAGCCAAGAATAAAAAAAAACAGAAAAAGAAAAAAAGCTACTTATCTTATATAGAGCTTGGTCCTGTCGAGAAAATTTCTGCTCAGGTATTATTAAACTACCCAGGCAAATCCCTAATCTTACAGATTCTAGCTGTAATCTCCACTACCTGGCGTTCTAACGAAATAAACCTACAGAAGTTTAAGCTAAAGATATAAAATATATAAATAAAAAAAAACAAACAGAAAAAAAAAAGACACTTATCTTACAGATCCCGGTTGGCAAAGATTAAAGTGATCTAAATTTAATTTATATCAAGATTCAGGGGACAATCTGAAAATAAATAATTAAATAAATAATTTAAAAAAATAGAAGAAAAAAAGTAAAATAAAAATAAAGAAAGAAAATAAAAAAAAAATAAGTGAAAAAAAAGTAAAATAAAAATAAATAATAAAGATCATTGTTTGTCATATAGTATAATACGACATATATATATGCTGCTGTTGCTTTTAATTTAAGGTACTTGCGTTAATGCCTCTTCCTTCTTATACAAAGATTCATTGCGATTAGGTGGTGTTCCAAAAAGTGCTTTTGCTAATATTTTTCTTAGATCAGTTCTAGCATCTCTAATAATACTATTATCTGGATGTTAATTACAGATGCACATATAAAAGCTAAATTTAATTGGTTAATCTAGGTGTCAATCACTGACGCTCTATATGAAGTCAAATTTAGATGCATCAAAAATTTTGGGGTGATTTGCAAATCAGCCTATATGTATAAAAAAATTGTCTATTTAGATTATAAAGTTGAATTAAACAACGATACATATTCAAAGAATGATATCACTGATGACTCAAATAAACTAGATGAAATTATTCAGAATGCATCTAAAATCTCCAATGAGAACACGCAATTATTCACTAGCACCGAAGAAACATTGAAATACGAACTTTATCTAAGCCCATAGATGAACTATGGCATATCACATGATTTATATTATATCAGGTGTTTTTTTTTCTTTTTTTACCTATTAGGGTGCATTTATAATTTTTTTCATACATATATGATTTTTCAAATATTACATAATGTAGAACTTAAATTGCATATAATCGAAGTTTGGTCTTCACCCAATAGACATTAAAAACTACCTAATATGTATTTTAAAATATAAGTTCTGCTGAGCAATCAAGCAAATTTTTTTAATAACATGTAAATTTCTTTATTTTAACAAAAACACCTCAGACAAAAAGTTATCTACATATGAGACAATGCCTATATTACTTGTTTGAAAATATTTATTGTATAAAAAAAATGAAAGTAACAGATAACAAATGATTTATATACGTACGTACGTTGCAAAAGAAAAAAATGATAAATATTAAAAAAAAAACTGGAAATGAGTGCTTGAGAGGGAAAATCAGTAAGTAAAAATTTGGACCCTAAAAATTATCAGAGTTTTGATAATTTTAGTAAATACAACAATAATTTATTACTGAAATTATCAAAATGCTGATCATAATTTTTTTAGGGTCCAAATTTTTACTTACTGATTTTTCTCTCAAGCACTCAAATCATTAAAGCAACACTAAAATACACTAAAGATAGCAAATGATAATTAATCAGCAAATAATACATATTATATTATTCAATAATGAAAGAAGTATTGTTATATATAATTCTATGATCAAATAAAAAAATTCATCAATTTCTTCCCATAATATCTAAATTAAACTCAGCAATTGATCCAAGTACAATCATTTATATAACTCGACTTTTTCCACCATAATTTGCTCAAAATTCAATCTGTAATCAACTTTACTATTAACATGTGGTTTATTCAATTTTATAATGTCCTCATGATTTTCATCAGTATCAGAATTCCATATATTTGATACTTCAGGTTTTATTTTACATTTTTTAAATTGGTCTTTAGGTATATTTTGTAAGACACATTCATCCGAGATTTTTAACCTTGAATCTTTAGCATCGCTAACATCCTTCAGAAACCAAATTCCATGACCTTTTGTATGGTCATATCAAGATTGTTGATTAATATGCAAATGTTTTTTGTCCATCCTCTTCATCTTCAATTCTGTATCAACAACAATTACCAACTCGCTAGAAATTTCCATTTCTGCAGCTCTTCGACTGCAGACATATGGAGCAAAAATAGTTTAATTAAATCTAATCAAATTTAATTAAATAAGTTTAAAAATTAAAAAGGTTCTATCAAATTTTTTTTTGTTGAGCTATTATGTTTAAAAAATTTTTTTTAAAAAAAAAATAATAATAAAATTTGCTTGGTTTCTATTGACTCACCCCATATGCTTCTTGTTCATCCTTTTTATTACCAGTCCCTTTTCATAGCACTGTCCAAGATTACAAACTCCATCGATATTTCTTATGTTTGAAGACTTTTAGTAATCAGTAGATGTTTTATCTTCATTTCTTTTAATGCCAATTCCATTTTTTATAACAGCATCCAGCCTTATATATTCCACTATTGATGCTTAACTCAATAAATTCTTAATGATCAATGAAAGCTTTATGTTCATTCCTTTCATTATTAGGTTTCATTTTGTTGACAATGGTCATGCTTGTATGCTCCGCTGTCATAATATATCTTCGCATTAATTAATGCAAACTTTCGTTTCGTGTAAGGGCAAATCAAATTTATTTAAGCTTGTTACTTAAATATATTTATCATTACAAATTAGCCTTATCGTGTTTTACATCCAATCTCATTTGAATTATTGATTATAAAATTCTAGATCTTTGGTAAAATTAAGTGTCATAACTTAATCGTTTATATATCAGTTACTAGTGATAGTAGAATGGTAGTCGACCAACTAACAGTCAATTAATATTGACGAAGTTATCGACTTAGTTAACTAACACTAAGTATTGAATTACCACAATTTTGTCACAATAGATCCTCAATTGTGATTGGCTGACACGAATATTTATACTCAAAATTTTTGAATATTCAGGTTTTAGTAAACTTAAAAAAAAACTCTATATAATATTTTATATACTAATCCCAGCAAACATTTTGTTAAAAAAAGCAACTTGAATTACGTTGAATTACGCAATAAAAGGTAGATCTACTAAGAGCTGAAGTACTGTCTACTTATAGTAAAAAGGTAATAAAAATATATTGTATTGCTTAATTCGTAAAGTTCAACGTTATTTTTTCTTTTTTTTTTCTTATCTATTATTATTTAAATAATTAACATATTGATTTTACTATAAATTTTACAGACTGTTTTCAAAAGTTGTATATTCTCTGAAGGATATTTAATTAAATAGAAGTCATTTTATATATACAATAGTATAGTTTTTTTAATTATGTAAAATTTAAGAATATTAATAAAAAATATGTAATTTCTTATTAAAAACTTTTATAATAAAGTTTTTATACTTGTGTTATTATAAGCTGAGTGAATAGTTTTATATTTTTCTAAACACAACTTATTTACTTCGAAGTTAAACATAATAGGGAGTTTCAAAATTAATCTTATTTTATTTTTCTGATTTATAATTTAATATAGTAAAAATGCTATTGAAAAAATCCTACTTATTTTCAAAATAGTCACTTATTTGTTAATTTTAAAACCTCCTAATAATATGAATTACACCTGTTGATTGGCTGCATAGTTTGATGATCATCTATCTGTTTATATCAGAATTAAACTATAATTCGAGGTTCAAACAAAATACTTGGAAGTAGCAGCTTTTGATTTTATAATATCAAAAACACTTACTAATAACTTGTTTTTGCTATTATATTTCTCTATAGTACAAAAAAAAATACAAGGCTGATTGTATATATGAACTAATTATAGAATCGTTATCAAGGAGTCATGAAAAAGAACAAATGTAAAATACTTGAATGTTATCAAAATTTGTCGAAGTATTGAAAAGGATGAACATATGATATTCAACCTAGAATCAGAAGTCTGCTAGGATAGAGAGCACTGATTAAATTTCATGCTTAAAAATTATTAAAATTATTATCGTTAAGAAATTGGAATTGAAAAGTAAACGTAAGATATCAAAATCTGCTGATATAGTAGATGGTGGATAGTGCTTCGAGTGGGGTTAATTTGGATGATCCGAAACTGATTCAGTTATAATAAATTTACTATACAGGTCATGACCTATATAATAAATTTATTATAATTGAAACAGTTTTGGGTCATTCAAATAATATATTCAGAGTACTATTTATTTATTATCAAGATATTAGCAATCCTCTCAAGCTATTTATTATTATCAAATGGAGATTGGAATTAATGATGAATATAACGCATTTGTCTATTATCAAAACCCATTTAAATAGGTGATACAGATAGAACGTTTATCAAAAATCTACCGAAACAGGAAATGCTATGGGTATAAATAATCTTTAGAATTGAAGTAAGAAAGAACGAACATAAAGCATTTATTCATCACCAAAAATTTGCTAATTTGGGTAGTGTTTATGAAGCATTTTAATCTTATATTGACAGAATGTGTAATATTAATATTGTTGTCATGAAGGATTGGAATTGCAAAGGATATATGTAGGATGTTTGAAGACTATCAAAAATCTGCTGAAATGTGGAATACATACGAACTATTTAACATTGGTATTGTTTTCAAAATGGGATTGGAATTAAAAAAAAAAAAAAAAAAAAAAAAGGATAATTAAAGGGCGTTCATGGATAACAGTATGAAGGGTTTCCTATATTGAGATGATAAGCATTAATATTTTCTAATCCTAAATATCAAATATTACATTCTGTTTTATTTATATTGAACATAGCATGAAACTGAAATTAAAAAAAAAAAAAAAACGAGTGTAAGGCATTTGTATATTATCAAAATTTTGCCGAGATGAAATATTTTAATAAGTCATCTCAAGATGGCTATTTCCAACAAAATGGAAGTGGTGCTTAAAAGACAATCTGATATGTTTGTCAAAAATTTTATTACATTTTATATCTTTAATTATATTGATTGGGTCTTAAATATAGTTATGAAGTACACCCCTCACCACTAATAGATGGATCTAACAAAAATACAACTACTTACAAAATTATACAACTTTTCAATCACCTTCAACTCCATATCAACACTCACTCTAACTACCTTCACCCCTATACACTTCAATATCCCTATACTCCTATTGAAAAAATACTAAATACACACAAACTATATCTGCAATTCAAAAAACAGCTACGTCATAAACAAA